GCCCCACCGAGTCCGCCAAAGCGGCTCGTGTGCGACGCAACGCTCGCTTCCTCCGCAGACACCTGAGCCGCTCTAGCCCGTGCGGCCAGGACCTGTGCGAGGGTGCGGGAGGATGCTGCTGCTCCCCCCTCCTCCGTCCGAGAGCCTTCGTCCTTGACGAGTAGATCCTCCGCCCGACGATGGGCACGAGTCACGTGCTTCGCGACCCGCTGATTGTCGCCCGCAAAATTTTTTCCCTTCAACAGCCCGGCGACCGCCTCCTTCCATAGCACAGCCAGAATGGCGTTGAACGTCTGACTCAGCGAATCCAGCCCCCTCTGACCAGCGGTCACGTGGTAGAGGCTCGCCTCTGTTGCTCTCGTAATATTCTGCTTGAGCACGGCGGCGGACTCGACCGGTCCCGAAGCGGTCGGCGATACCCACTTCTGGATTTTCATGAAGAACGACGCGATGGCTTCAACGAGCGAGGGCAAGCACTCCTTGCGTACGGCGTTGATAGTCTCGGTCTTGTTAGCCATTGTTAGACACTACTGCGTAGGGACAGCCTTAAAGGTTTCACAGAACTACGATGGGGTGTGACGCAGGGTGTGCACAAGCAAAGGCTAAACCCGATTTTACCCCCGAAGACCGGCACCGAAAGCTGACGTCAGGAACGAGGGAGAGAGAGACGTCTGCCCCAGGCTCAAGCACACGCTGTCTTGCGACACTGCATCGATCGTGGGCGGTCTCCTCGGGTCGAGGACGGAGATAGACCCGGCCGACTACTTTGTGGACGAAGCCCTCGAGGACATTTACAAGCGCTACGATGACTACGCGCAGCTGCGGACGACCGCCGAGGAGCGGGCGACCGAGCTGGCTGACATGCAGGCCCTGGTGCAGAGCCAAGCGGCTATGCGAGAGGAACTTGCCCACGAAAAGGCCCGCGCCGACGCCGCGGTTGCCCGCCAGAACGAGCTCGCCGACCAGGTCGCTGCACTGGAGAGCTCGGCGTCGGCGTCGGGCGCGTCGACCAGCGAGGCTACCAAGCAGCTCGCTGAGCTGCAGCAGTGGAAGCGGGCAACGCTGCGGTCAATGGCGTCGCTGCAGGAGGAGCTGGCTAGCGCGCAGCAGGCGGTACTGGATGTGCAAGCCGAGCTCGAGGCCGAGCGCCGTGCCCACGCCGAGCTGGCAGCTGACCGCGATGTCGTCTCCACGCTCAAGGCACAGGTGAAGGACGCCGTGGCTGCGGCATCGAGTGCCAAGCTTGAGGCCGAGAAGCTCCAGTCCGAGCGCAGCGCACTCGCGCGTAAGATTAGCGATCTCGAGGACGAGCTTGGGCACGCGCCCGGACGGACATCGTCGCTTGGCAGCGGAGGGCGTGGCGAGGCCGTGGCTGACGAGCTCGCAGCGCTCGGTGAGTCGTACTCTGACGTGATGGGCAACAAGCTCAAGGCTGCGGCGGCCGAGAACGCACAGCTTGTGGCCGACATTGCGGCAGCCAAGGATGCCGAGAAGCAGGCCAAGGCAGAAGCGGCTGCTGCGACAGCGGCTGCTGCTGACATGACGGCCAAGGTCAAGGCCAACGAGGCCGCGGTGGCTTCCGAGCGTGAGCAGCTGGCGAGAAAGGAAGAGGCGTTTGAGACCATTGTGGAAGGGTTGCAAGCTCAGATTGACGCGCTCAAGGGGGGGAGCGGGCGAAGCACCAGCTCGGATGGCAACCTTGCCGCGATGACCGCGGACGAGCTCCGCGAGCTCAACCACTCGCTCATGGACAACCTTGCTGAGTTTGAAAAGACCAAGACCGAGCTCTCAGCGACCAAACGCAAGCTGGCTGACGTCAAGGGCCGGCTCACGGACGAGCTGGCCGATGCCACTGCCACCGTCGACGATTTGCAGGTCCAGCTCGAGTCGGAGCAGATCAAGGCGCACAAGCTCAAATCGAAAGTTGCGTCGCTCACCGCCCAGCTGGAGGCGCAGCCGGCGACTGGCGGTGCGGCCGAGTCAGGCACGCTACCGGCGCTCAGCGGAGAAAACGTCAGCGTAGGAGCCGAGGCGGTCGCGAAGCTGGAGGCCGAGCTCACAAGCGCGCGTGAGCAGATTGCACAATGGCAGGCAGCGCACGGCAGGGCCGAGGCTAAGCTGGAAAAGTCCAAGGCGAAGCGGGCAGCGGCGGTTAAGGAGGCACAGGCTGCACTCGACGAGTCGTCTCGGCTTGAGGCCGAGAAAAAGGCTGTTGCCGCCGAGCTTGCGGCAGCGCGCGCAGAGCTTGATGCTGCCGCTGCTAGCGATGCAAGCTCAGCTAGGACGAGCGGTGAGAGAGGCGCATTAGACGCGGAAATGGCGGCGCTGAAGGAAAAGCTGGCTGCGGCGCGCCAGAGCGAAGGAGAAGCCTGGGCTGCGGCGGCGGATGCCAAGACGCAGGCTGCGAGTGCGGCTGGTGAGTTGGAGAGCGCAGCCGCCGAGATCGAAGAGTGGAAGTCATTGGCGGCTAGGGCACAAGGTGAGGCCGGAGCGGCGGCGACCCAGCTGGGGGTGACTGCCGAGAAGCTGGCAGCTGCCGAGGGCAAGATCGAAGGTCTTGTGGCGGCTGTGGCGGCCGCGCGGGCGGAAGCAGCAGCAGCCAAGGAGCAGAGCGAGACGCGGGTGACTGCCGAGAAGCTGGCGGCTGCCGAGGGCAAGATCGAAGGTCTTGTGGCGGCTGTGGCGGCCGCGCGGGCGGAAGCAGCAGCAGCTGCCGAGAGCAAAGCGCGGATCCAGGAGCTGCTGGCGGCGAACAGGGAGCTTGATGTCAAGCTGCAGTCAGCGCGAGTGGCGTTGACCGAGGCCAACCAGGCGACGGAGCGGGCGCGGCAGGAGACTCGAACATCGGCGCAGGCACTGGCAGCCAAGACATTTTCTGAGGCAAGTGAAGCCACGGCGCTGTCCGAGAAGATCCGCACGTGCGAGGCTCAGCTGGCGGCTACCAAGGAGGCGCTAGAGTTCGAGCGTGCCGAGAGGGCGGCGGTAGACGCCGAGGTTGTCCGACTCGAGAGCCAAGTGGCGTCGATGAACGCTGCGCACGAGAACGCGCTTGCACTCGAGGAGATCCTACGCAAGAAGGATGCCGAGATTGTGAGCCTGGAAAAGGCGACACGGCGGACGGCCGAGAAGCTGGCGAGAGCCAAGGAGGAGCTGGCAGCCGCGGCCGATCTGCAGGCGCAGGCGCAGACCGAAAAGTCAAAGCGGCTGGCGCTGAAGGACGTGTATCAAGCGAGTCAGCGACGGATTTACGAGCTGGAGGAGGCGTTGCGGCGGGGGAAAGAGCGGAGCGAGGTCAAGGAGACAGAGTTGCTGGATAAGAGCCGGCGCAAGGTCGAGGAGCTGGTGTACGCTCTGGACGAATCACGTGCACAGTGCGCAGCCGAGCAAGCACGCCGAGAGGCGAGCATGAAGGCCTCGTCGCTGCTCGAGTCGCAGGTGTCGACCCTCGAGTCACAGGCCAAAACAGCGATGGTGCAGGTGGCCGGCGCCAAGGCTGAAGCCAAGGCAGCCGCGGAGCGGGCAGAGGCAGCCGAAGCCACGTTAGCAGCGGCGCAAGCCGATGCAGCGGCTGCCACCGAGGCCGCCGAAAAAGCCCGGGCCGAGGCTCTGGGCAGTGTCCGCGATGCACAGCGCGAGGTTGACTTGCTGAGGGCGCAAATTGTGCGGCAGACTGCAGCTCTGGAGGAGAGTAACGCGCGCGTTAGCCAGTTGGAGGCCGGGATGGCGAGCGGGGACGCCCAGATGCAGGCTCGACTTGACGAGTATCGGTCAGCGCTGAAGGCCGCCGCTGCAGCGGCAGATGCCGACGCGGCGGAGATTGCGGAGCTGCGCGCGGTCAAGGACGCGCTGCTGGACAGAGTCGGGCAGGCCAAGGCCAAGCGGGCGGCGCTCAAGGCCAAGTTTGCCGAGTCGCTGGAGGAGCTTGGGGCCAAGGCCGAACTATTTGACGCGCTTCAGGCCAAGGCCGAGAAGCTCGTGGTCAAGTACACCCAGGAGAAGGAAAAGCGGGTCGCTGTGCTCGGCGAGCTATCAGGCAAGCAGGCCGAGCTCGAGGCGCTGCATGCGAGCGTGGGCGAGGCTGTCGAGCGGGAGAAGAAGAAGCGGCAGACAATGATGCTGCAGTTTGCGCGCCAGCTTGAAGAGAAGCAAGCAGAGATTGCGCAACTGCGGACGCAGGTCATGACTGCCGACGTGCCGCAAGTTTCAGACGCCAAGATCGCCGAGTTCAATGATGCGCTGCTCAATCTCGAGACCAAGAACGCGTCGCTGAAGCAGGCGCTGACGACGACCAAGGCTGCGCTCGCCGAGGCCAAGGAGAGTCTCAAGGGTATGGGCAAGGAGACGCCCAAGCTCAAGCTCCTTGTTGCGCAGAAGGACGCCGAGATTGGCGCGCTCCGTGCGGAGCTCGAGGTGGCAATGTCGTCTGTTGATGCCGACGAGCTAGTGCGAGACGTGACAGTGGCGAAGAAGCGCGAAATGCCACCGGCGCAGCGCAAGGCGTTCATCCGGGCCAAGGAGCTCGAGCTGTCAGAGGAGGAGGCGGCGATTGAGCGGCTGCAGGCCAAGCTGCAGGCGGCCGGGCACGACTTTGTGCGGATGCGTGCGGCGACACGCGAGGCTCGCGACCTCGTTGCGCACGCGTTTGGACTCTTCCACTCGCTGCTCGAGGTTGTGGTGCAGGCCGACAAGGAGAAGCAGCTGGTGGAGCTGCGCGGCTCACTGGAGCGTCGTGAGAAGGACATCGAAGTGGCGGCTGAAGCTCTGGACGCAGATGTGAGCGACGCTGAGGCGCTGCACGCCCTGAGCATGGCACTGGCAACGCTGCAGGACACGCTTCAGATTGCGCAGGCATCCGGGACCGAGTACGCTGTCAACGTGGCGCTTCGCGAGATGGTGGCCAAAGTGCCGATTTTTGACGGCGTGTCGGACGTGGGCTTCATCTCGGAGCTCCTCCGCAAAATGCAGGAGCGGAGCTTTGAGCCTGGCCAGTTTGTTATTCGACACGGCGAGCTCGGGCACTCGATGTTTTCGTGACCAAGGGCAAGGTCGGTGTGCTTATTGCCAGCGGCGAGCGGGTGGCAGAGATGGGCGAGGGCGAGTGTTTTGGTGAGATTGCGGTGCTGATCGAGGGCAAGCGGACGGCGTCGATTGTGGCCGAAACATATGTCGAGGCGTACGAGCTGAGCAAGGAAGCACTCGTGGCGGCGCTGGAGCACTACCCGGAGCAGAAGAAGGCTCTGGTGCGCGTGGGCGAAGAGCGGCTTATCAACGACATGAAGAAGGCGCGCAAGGCGGCACGGGCGGTGCAGCTTCCAGACCACCCGATGGACGAGTACGCGCGGCGAGTCAAGGTCGTGGCGGAGCTAGTTGCTGAGGCTGTGAGCGAGCGGCGTGCAGGAGAGGCGCACGAGCGGGCAAAAGAGCTGGTGGCGATCGCGGGCGCAGCCATGGCGCAGGTGCCTGAGCGTCTCTCTTGGCTTCGTGGCGCAACCGGGACTGCCCGCAACCAGCTTCGCGCCCTCCTGGAATCGATCTTTGGCGACGGACCACCCAAGCGGAAGCGGCCAGACCTCGACGAGGTGGCGAGCGGGTGTACCGAGCTGGCACAGGCAGCACGAGCCATGGTGTTCACGGTCGAAATGGGCGAGTGCCTTCTCCGGGTCCCGTTTCTGGCCAAGACCGACGAGGCGTTCCGCGACGCACTCCTGCGCGAGTCCACCGTCCACGACTACGACGACAACGCCAAGCTGATCAATGCAGGCGAGGCCGGTCACGAGCTGTTCTTTCTGGTCGACGGCGCAGTCGAGGTCATACTCCCGAACGGCGCGCGGGTGGGCAATCTGGTGACCGGCGAGTACTTTGGCGAAAACGGAGTTTTCTCGGACGCGCTACGGACAGCAAGCGTATGGGCGATCACGCCCGTGACAGCTGCCGTGCTGACGCGTGACGGGCTCGAGCGGGTCTTTGCTGCTCGAGCCGACGGCGAGGCGCTGCGGGCGTCGATCGTGGAGCAGCACGACAACGAGACAAAGACGATCGAGTTTGAGCGGCTGAGTCTTCGGCGCAGGTTCAAGGAGTCGCTCCGAGTTCTTGCCGCTGAAATATGGGCCCGCTCATTGCGGAGCTTCCGCGGCTGGAGCAGGCCGTCCTCGCAGACATGGCCGGACTCGATGGCGGGGTGCTCGAGGCCATTCCGCAAGTTTGTGCGAGTGTGAGCGAGCTGGCGATTGCTGAGCTGCATCGGCGGCAGCGTTGAGAGCAGTCTTGCCGACCTCTCACTGCCAGGCAATGGGGTGGACGTGGATGACGCCGAGGTCGATGAGCCCGAGCGGAGTTGATCGATCAGATCTGCTGCTCAACCACAACCGGAAGCAACAAAGGCAACACAAAAGCACAGATTCGGTAGTGTAGCGAGCAGGGGCCGATGATTGACATGGGAGTCAAGGTCGATGGAAACAGCCGAGTCAAGAACAATACTGGGTATGGCGACTGGGGTTGAGGATTGATGTGCGTGGGTAGGATGAGAATGATGGGTGTGCGTGGGGTGTGAGGGATAAGGGTGGAGGGGCTTGGGCGGCGAGGGTGAGGAGGGCGGACGGATTGGATTGAGATGGACGTCGATGGAGACGAGGGCTTGAGATTGGAAGAGAAGGCAGACCACTGCACTCTAGCCCACCACTGCATTGCCTATCGCTTGCACTTGCCCTCTCTTGTTCTTCCTCGTCCTGGCCAGCCCGGTGGCTTCGTCGTCTGGCACGGTGATCGGCAGCAGGGGCGGCTGGCGATGAGCTGGCCGGCGGGGGCTGTGATGGGCAAGGCCGGAAGAGGGAGGGGAGAAGTGGGTTGAAGAGCAGACTGGTAGGCATTGCCATTGATATAGCTATCCGTATGCATCGCCTCCAATGCCCTGTGCATGGCTAGCTTGCTCTCGGTGGTGCCGGCAGTGGTCGGTCGGCGGCGGGCGGTGGTCGGCGGCGAGCAGCAGGCGGTCAGCAGCGATGCTGTTGACGCGATGGCGTCGGCTGATGTGCGTATCGGCAGGCAGCAAGTAGATGGTTATGTTTGCAGGAGTGATACACATGTGTGGTGTGGGTGTGGTGGTTGTGGGTGGAGATGGTGGGGAGTGGGGGTCGGAGATGGGCCCGGGGAGGGGGGGTCAGCAGCATCGAAGGGACACAGGGCCAACAACTTGGACCTCAGATAGCAGAGCTCGGATTCTGGAATACTGCAGCTGTGGATTGGAGACTGTGCAAGGAGGTAGTGTGTGTATGTGGTAGAGTAGTAGTGAAATCAGATTGGTCATATCTTGCAATGAGTGTGGTGGGGGGCATGTGCGGGGTCGGGCGGTCGAGGACGTGCTCAACCACCTAGACAAAACCAGCCGACGCGGAAATGAGCCGAGGAAAATGGGTATCGATGACAGCGATACTGATACTGGTGATAGTGCACGGTAAGTGACGACCTTGGTGGTGGTCGTGGGTTGTGTAGCTGGTAGTGGGAAGGAGCTAGGTGGTAGTGAAGGTGGGCCGATCGGGCAAGCGGGCGGCCGCTGGCGGCTGGTGGTCGGCGAGGCAGGGGCAGCAGAGGGGGCTGGGTCGGGGATGGGTGGTTTGAGAATGCTGTTGGTTGCAGGATCGGCAGTATGACTTGTGATGGTTGAGGGATGGCGGTGTCGGGGTCGGGGATGAGGATGGAGGTGAGCTGAAGTAAGGTCAAGACGAGGATACGGAGGAAGAGGAAGCGGAGTGCGCGATGGGATGGTGGTGAGGATGGCCAAGGCAAGGTGGTGGTGGTTGTGGCTAGGATGATAGTGATGGTGGTGGGGTAGGGGGTGGGGGTGGTCGTTTGTGGTGACGGGTGGTAATGAGTATGGTAGGGGGGATGTGGGGGTCGTGACGAGGGGTCGTGACGCGCGAAATGGTAGTAGATATGGCGATTGGGCTTGAGCATTGAAGAACATGGGTATGATGAGACTGATGGATGTGTGTGCAGTGTGGGCGATAGGGGCGGCGGGTACTTGGCCGGCAGAGGGAAGGCGGCGGACGTTAATTGAGTTGAACGTTGAATTAATTGAAGAAAAGTCGGAACGGGCATCAAACGAGGCAATGACGTCCACAACAACAACCAAAGATCATACATGGCTTGCACAGCACACGTATGCGTAAGCCAACAGGGACTGGACAAAGCTAGCAGGCAATGGGATGGACTCGGGTGACGTTGAGGTCGATGAGGCAGGGCGCGGTTGATCGATCAGATCTGCTGATCAACAATGACCACGACAAAACAGAGTCAACACAAAAACATTACAAGCAAAACTATTGCCCATGACGGACGACAACAAAGTTGAGAATCGATAGTGTAGTGAGCAAGGCCCGATGGTGGATGTGAAAGTCAACGTCGAAGAAAACAGGAGAATCAAGAACAATTGAATCATGACGAATAATGATACAAAGCAACAACAAGAGCAAAGGCAATGATCAATGAGGATGCATGCCGATTACGGTCAACCATCACAGGCAAAAGTAACCAAAGCAGAGCATGAAGGCAGACAATAGCAACAACAAAGCATGTGGAACCATAAACGGCAAAGAACAAAGAACATGAATAGCCAACAAGAAAAGAAACGGAAAAAATCGAATGATCAATTGACAATGATCGATGACATTCAATTGAATGTCAAACAATCGAACAAGTGACGAATGGCGAATCATGAAAATGTTGAATGACATTCATGTCACCCACCAACCCGCACATGCGACTCGGCCGAACGAGTGACACCAGCCAGTGTCAATGGGAGGATGGGGATTGTGAATCAGCATCAAAGATTCAATTCAGGCCCATGCACAGCCATGCGCATGGTGAAGTGGAGAATGAGCATGGTGGCGTGAGTGGGACTGTGGATGTGGGTCATGCATGGGATGAGTAGGGGTGGCAAGGGGGCAGTGAGTGGCAAGTGGAGTGAGTCGTGGTTGGTGGCGAGGAATGGAGTGGGGCTAGGGTTGATGAGGCATCAGCTAGGGTTAGGAGGCATCAGCTAGGGTTAGGGTTAGGGTTAGGGTTAGGGTTAGGGTTAGGGTTAGGGTTAGGGTTAGGGTTAGGGTTAGGGTTAGGGTTAGGGTTAGGGTTAGGGGGTTAGGGTTAGGGTTAGGGTTAGGGTTAGGGTTAGGGTTAGGGTTAGGGTTAGGGTTAGGGTTAGGGTTAGGGTTA